TTCCGATGTAGCGGAAGTTATGAACATGATATCAAGGCGTGTCATAGCCTGGCAGTAAGTGGTAATTTTTTAAAGATTTTATTTGTGTCATATAGGTATGTCATACATGTGCGTAGTAATGTGTGGCAATTGAAGTATTGGAGTCGCTTATACGCTTCCGGTACTGTAAAGACCACAGCCGTTAACGCACGGGGAATCAACACCCGAACTCGAGTGTCTACTTGAGATGCGACATCGCCAACAAAACATCGATATTAGCTAACATCGATGTTCAAAACTACAACATCTATATTCAAAATACATCGACGAGAAACGATCGATGTTTTTCAACAACGATGTTTTTAGACTCCATTAGTATCCTCTAACATTGCATACGTTGTGCTGTACAATTTAATTTGACAGTGTTTGTGTTTATCAATTCTGCGAATAAGGGTATGATAAGAAGAAGCGGACCCTACGCACAACAGATTACTTGCTGGCCTTATCTCAATGTGCAAAATGAATATCAAGAGGAAATACAATGGCATAGAGGTCATCTGGGGCTAGAGAGTTTGGTGATTATAAGTAGTGCAACCAGTTTCTTTTGGTTCCAACACATGAGTAACACTGTTACTATCAGTTATTTCATATTTTAACTTTTACAGCAATTTGATCATGAGAATTCCTCATTGACAAACAAAACATCGGAAAAGAAAAAATAATACATCGATCACAAAACATCGATGTTAATAAAACATCAGTGTTAATTCGTCGATGTTTAAAATATCGATGTTTCGATAATATCGACAACGATGTCGCATCCCTAGCCTCTATGGGCACCTCCTCCTGCCCCCCCCCCGGCAGTAGACGTAGACGCGTAGAGCAGTAGACGAGAAGTGTGTTCCTGCGCGAAGACACGAATCAAAGCGGGCGAGAACGAGCGTAAAAGAAGCGCCTTCCTGCGGACGCGCGCCGCGCGAACAAGGGCCTTCGGCGCACGCACGCGCCGCCGCACTCGCCCCGCGGGGAGGGGGGTGGAGGGGAGGGGGAGGGGGGCAGATTCGGGCTGCGAACAGAGCTGCGAAGGGCGACGCGGAGTGGCGCGCGCGCGCGCAGAACACGTTGTACCGGCGCGCGGGCGAGACCGGAGGGACGCGCTTGCAGCAAATATTTATTGCCTGCGTATGCGTGGGGAGGAGGGGAGAGGATGGAAGGGGCCGGAGGAAGGTGGAATGCGGAGGCGGAGGTGAGGACGGAGGCGGAGTTGAGGACGGAGGCGGAGGTGAGGACGGAGGCGGAGTTGAGAACGGAGGCGGAGGAGGTAAAGAAGGCGGAGGGGTAGGGGATGAGTGATCGGGCGCTCTGAGCAGAGTGCGACCGCAAAACGCTTCTCGGATGCGCTGCATGGCTGTTATTACGCCCCGATGCCGCGCGCTAAAGAGCAGACTCCGCCATCCACTCAACCACGTATCCTTGCCATCTACGACCCTGCTACGCCTCTACGCTGTCCCCAAGATCCAGTTAGTTTTCCTGCAGTGGTTGGTTTGGTTTCCTGCTTTGGTCATCTTTGCGTTTGTTTTCCGCTCCCGTCTCTTCCCGTTCCTACCTTTTCCCGCTCATTGACCGTTCCATTCCGCAGGCTTCACTTCCTTTTCCACTCCCACTTCCGGTCACATCCGACCCTCCAGCCATAGAGTAATGAACTGTAGTGTTCCTTATTCTATTCTAACTGCTCCAGCCCTCCTCCTTCACCCACGCCACGCCACACCACGCCACGCCACACCACCGACGTCCGTCAGCGTCCGTCCTGCCAATGTCAAGTCCAACGCACCGCCCCCACCAATGTTCCCAATCCAGATCCGCGTCCGCCCACGCCTCGCCCACAACCCTCCGCAACCGCCTCGCCCCGTTTCGCCCCGTTTCGCCCTGCCTCGCTTCGCCTCGCCCTGTTTCGCCAAGCTTCGCCCCGCCTGGCCTTGTCTATTGCCGTCCTCGTCCTGCGCCAGGTTAAGGAGACGAACAACTAGTCCTTGACTCACTGAACCTCATTAGCACTCGCGTGTTGTGGAGTCTAGCTCTCAGAAACGTGTGTTAGATGCACCTAGGTGAACTAATATTCTCCAATGGTGTATCATTTACTAATGTATTTATTAGATGAAGCTATACTTTTCTCTTCTACATAAGTACGTATTTTAATGAATAAATCAGTGATAAAACCGAACTCAACAAAAGACGTACGCCATCGAATTAAAAGAGCGATAATCGAAATGAACAAAACGGAGGCGAGCACCTGCGTCGCCGCTCTTCTGCATTCGACTGAGAAATAAAGAAGAAATGCGCAAGTGAGTATCATTAGGTAAGTATGCTGCAAAAACGTAGTGTAATGCATTCGAAACTTTGAGGTTAATAACTTTTATGGAAGTAAAATCTTGTCTTTTTTTAATTCACGGAAAGTAGCATTCGCAGAAAGTATTAGAACTTATAATAATGCATTTCGCATTCGTAAGAAATTTTCATTTTAGAATAAGAAATCCAGTTATAAACTCGTAAAGACACTGCCCTTGATTTTCATCCATAAAGGTTAAATGACGACTGATTTCATTTTCTTGATAGAACGATTATTTTGGCATATTTTCATTTAAAAAAGAAATTGATATCATCATCTGTGCTTTATAATATATAAAGCTTGTCCAGCCTTTAAACACATGGTAAATAATCAGATGTTTACAACATTTACATTTTTAAAATAACTATTCCCAGAAACTCTAGCTAAGAAATTTGAAGAATTAATTCACTCCAATGAATGGTTGTTTCGAAAGTGGGTCACTTGCTTTCATTTTCTTAGAAATTGTTGCACTTAAATGCAGTGAATCTCGGAATTTTAAAGTTCTATTATGATGATATTCCTGTCATTTAAGACTTATTAATGAGTTTTATTCTTTGAAGCTAATAAATTACGACATGACAATAATAGCATGTTTTATACTATAAAATGAATGAGAACAGAAAATCGGAAGAGAAACACACATGAAGAGAGAGTAGCTCAGTTATGCGCGATAGAAATTCCATTACTCAAATTATATCCGCCTTCCATGCATTCATTTTTTTGACATGCAATTTCAATATTTCATTGTGGTTAACATTCCATTATCAGTGTTCTTTTTCGACCGACCTATAAAACAAAAACACTGCACACGCATATATGCTGTTAGTGTGTCTGTGATTAGTAGTATGATTTGTGAGTCCTGTAATCCTTCTACGCCTTTACGTGTGTTGAAAATGAATGAACTTCGGTACAAGAAAGAAATCGAAGTAAAGTGCTCAAAGTTCTGTTAACTACAAATATATTTCTGTAGCACTCAGCAAAATTTATGTAAGTTTCTAAACCTAGTAGAAACGTATTATTAATTATTCTAAGGACGTTTATCAGAAGTTTTCAGAATAATCTGTTTGCACCATTTTCAGATATAGTCGAACACATTCATATGAATGATGTAGATTGCGAGATACGAACTAATCCAAACTATAACTATTGAAATGAGAGCATTTAAAATATCAGGTATTTACAGATATCAGAACTTTGTAGAGAACTTCAATTTACAAATCGTGATTGTGACAACTTTTTCACCATCTAGAATAAATAATTTAAGTAGTTTATATCTCAGATTGTTCCAACAGCCTTCGCCCCAAATGTTGCATAATATTTACGTAATTACGAACGTTTCAATTAACATAAAAAGTCGCATTATTATTACTCATGTTAAAATAAACAGAAAATTCTTTAAAAAAATGCTACATTGGAAACATCTCGTGCCTGACCTTCGTCCAGAAAACTCAGCTACATAGAATATTTTACTACCTTTTGAAAGTACGATTTCGAACCGCAAGAGCGTACGATTATTTTCATTAGTTAAAGTTACAAAGTGTTAGCGTGACATTAAAAATGGTGTAATATTAATAGTGAAAAATAATATATAGCAAATAATTTCCCAGATGAATTCATTGCAAAACAAACGCTCTGTTTTCCCAATTTTTCCCTTGACAACAAATACACTCCATTTTGGACAGTAAAGTCCCCGTCGGCATAAGCGGATTATCAACTTTGTCGCTTGTAGGCAAGGGAAATGTGCCGCCTATTATTTTCAAATAACCCACGAAAAAAGGTATATAAAATAACAAGTATAATTTGTTTTGAAAAATTAGACACGTGTATTTCTGACTAAAATTAAATGTAATGTAATTAATAATTTGTGTGTGTTCAATTTTTTTTCTATGGGAAATCATTGAATTTTTAAATAATAAATTTTGATGTATAGAAATAACAAATTCATCACGTTCTTTTCTTTTGTAGTTATGCATATTTATTATTTTACCGTTGTTTTCTTTAATTCTTAAAATTACTTAAATGTGTACATTTAACACTAGAAAATATGAAAATGTGAACGAAATAAGACATCTACAAACAGATTGCCAAAATCAAACATATTTAATGTGTACAATTTCTTAAATTTATAATATGAATAATTTGTATCGATGTACTATGAAGACTTCTTTTCGAAATTTGTAATTAAGTCTTAACTGTATGACTTGTGAAAATGTAAATATCGCTCATTTTGACTTATCAGAAATAGCAGAAGACATCCAGCCTGTTAATAAATTTATCTTTGAGTGTTTAATCATTTCGTTAAAAAAAACTATCAGAATACAAAGAAAAGAAAAAAAACATCGGACGTGATGAAGGGGAGACTTTTTAGATCCAATTTTGTGCATAATTTTTGCCGCCCCTAAATTTTGCCTCCGTAGGCACGTGCCTCCTGTGCCTATGTGCAAATCCACCCGTGCCAGTCGAGCGATTAAACGTCGACTGGTGCATCGCCTTGAGACTGGCCAGTGGAGCTTGATCTGTTTGAGGTTGTGTCGCCGTTCCGAAGCACGGCGCTGAAGTGGCAGGCGGCGGGCGGCGCGGCCGCGACCGTTCGCAGCCAAGTGCCGCGGCGCGGCCCCTAGTAATTTGGCGGCAGCCCGTCTGCTCGCGGCGGCTACGGCGGCGGCCACCGCCAAACGGCCGTGAAACGATGCCCGCCGCCGAGGGCTCTGATTCCACACACTCCCATCAGCCTCGTCGGCGCTGATTGGAGACGGAGGCGCGAAGAACCTCGCCCGCACGAGGAAAGAGCGCTGCCTGGTCGTCGGTGAGTACTTTTAACGTTGTGTTTGGTACATTTAATTAATTCATGTAATAGTAGCTTTGCGCAGTGGCAGACCAATGAAGGTTTACTGAGGTGTGGTTATTGATGGTTGAAACGTAGTCTTATATAAACCAATTTTTGTGATTAATATGTGTAGATGACCTGAAGATGGGATCGCCATGTACAGAAACGTTGAAAAGCTGTACATTGTTTTAATTATTTTATTTATGTTTTAAATAATTCCTGTATTAAGACATGTATAAAATAGAAATTGAGTGATTAACTTTAAGGAATATGTTTCCATCTTTTATTTCGTTTGATAATAGTATTTTGACTTTTTAGTTCTACAACCACTACCTAAAATATTTCTTTTAAACTGTAACTACTAGATAATTAAAACCATTAATTATTATACATTTTTTCCACGTTTTGAGGAATGGTGGTCCCCATCTTCAGGTTACCTAAAAATAATAATCACAAATATTAGATAACAACTATATTGGTTAACAATCGTCAACAATCTATAATAATCCGCATTGATTAACAATATACATTGATAAACAATCTACCATGTGGCTGTCATTTGCTTCAACAGTCTCTAGTGTAGTAAGGCTGTCAATAAATAATATGAGACCAATAAAATATTGCCAATAACGGGAGGTTAAGAGAGGATCCGTATTCTGTAGAATTCTTGTTTGGGAGAATACGGCTGCTTACGACGAATATTTCAGTCACCATCGCAGCCGCGGTTGCACCATGTTCGATCGTTACTGGTGAAAATAGCCTTCTTCCCAGATTGGTATAAAAAATGAATTATTCGGTCTTTCTGAGAAATTAAATATGGACAGAGACAAATTTGTTTCTTTCGTTTACGAAAGGAAATTTAAGCCGAATACACGTGATTAAATGATTTGAAATTGTTGTACGACATTGCTGAAGAAATAACTGAAGAAATTGCCTAAATAGATTTCTGATATTGCTGCCAAACACGAACCGAACCTCATTAATTCAACAGAAATGTGAAACTCGTCAACAAATGTCTCCCTTATGTTATTTAAAAGGTTCAAAATATGGTGATAAGTCAAACGTTTTCCGTCAGATTCCATTAGATGTTGCCTATTCCAATTATTTGAACACCTGAAGTTTGATGTTGCCGAATGCAACGTAGTCGCTACCATTCAGTCTGAACTCTCTCTAACGCTCAGTTACAACGAACCAACACAAATTTCCTTTCGTCTTCATTGCTCATGCAACACTTCATTGAATCATTCGTGGCGTTCATGATGTACGAAATAACTTCCATCACAGCTTAATCATTTCCATTTTAGTTAATGCCGTTCGATACTATATAGCATATCTGTACAGAATATTTTTATACCAATATGGATTACTAAGTATTTTTGTTTACGTTCACAGTGTGAATTTCCGTGTTCGTTATATTTACAGTGGAGTTGCATTCAATCAATCTCCCTGCAAGTAGAAAGATGTATAATAATGTTTTAAAATGAAAAATATGAAATCATATTTTTAAAAGATAAAAATTCATGCTTTAAAAGAATACTAGGTGTGAAGAAACGTGGCCCTGTAAAAGTATTCGATAAAAGAAAACAAAAGTAATTACTAAAACATAAATTTAATATTTAGTTGGTTACCTTTTAGTTGCAATGAAATTTTTCAACTGTTTTGTAATTGCAAATCTGTAAAACTACGTATTTCGTTTGAATCAACTTTTTGACTATTTTTTGTCTATTTTTCTGTCTATCTTTTGTCATCGCTTTTCAAATCATCTTTAGCTTGAACTGCATATTAGCGAATTCAATCTTCAAGTTTTTGCTACGCTTTTAATTACAATAATAATAATTAAACTTTGTGAAGCTGTCTGGATCTCTTCACGACAATGTAGAAGAGCCATAATCTATGAAGAAGAGCAAAATGGTTAAGGTCATGGTCCTTTTGGAAGCAAGACAGAGTTTGTTTTGATATTGCGCTTTTCAATTCGCAGATTGTATCAATGTTATCTTGCACAAAATCTACATTTATGACTTACCTCCATGTTTCATAGTTAGACTGCAGGGAAGTAGTCAGTGATGATGATTATTAAAATTATAATACAATTGATAACTAAGCTCTTTCTTATACAAAAAATTATTTAGTGTTTGATTTCGTAGAATATGAATGATTCTCAACGAACGTTTTTAACTGTTAATGTTATACAAAATTAAACTTAATTGTACGACATTAATTTTTATTTATTTCACTTCGGTACGACTTCAAACAATTTTTTGCAGCTAGCAGGTCTTGATATAAAAAGGATGGTCGAGCTTGCTTAGTGGATACCTCATTAGTTACCCAACTCTGCGAACTTCTACAGGGTTAAAATAATGCAGTTTTTCAAACGTTGGCGGCCATGACTAGAGAGCGATGTCTCCCGAAGGCAAGGTTTTAACAGTTGAAGCAAAACGATATACGGAACACGGGTGGAATGCATTGTATAATGAATGGTGATTCAAAACTTATTTGTTAAGGTACTTAGTTTAAAAAATTAATCACTAATATGATTTGGATCCACCGATAACGTATTTCCAAGAGAAAGTCTAGATTCCAATTTTCGGGCTTTGTGATAATAATTTAAAACATCCTGCCAGCGCAACAATTCCCAACACATTCTTAACAAATAAACAAACACGACTAATAACAATCAAAACAGATATGGCGTATCTCCACTTACTTTTCTCTCCTATCTTCCACTCGAGTATTTCTGTTTAATTAACTACGTGCATTTCACACGGGTTTAAATACACTCACCTTTTCTAGATACATTGCCATACCCCAGTGATTCCTTTTGACGAACATATGTATTTGCAGTTACGTCTTTTTCCTCATTTCGTCTTGTAACGCCCTTTCTTTAATTCCAATTCCATTTGCGTGCGTTTAATAATAAAAATTTGACGTACAACGTTCTTACGTTTTGAAATATAATTTCTCGCCTTACTGGCTTAAATATTTCCTCCCCTATTCATCATTGCACTTTTACTTATTTTTTCAAATGGTGATGCTAACTTTTTTTAATGTTTGATTGACTATGAACCACAGTTGTTTCCGTGAAATTCTAACTCAGGGATTCACAACACTTTTCTTCCACCAATCCCTTCCTTTTAAAGTATTATTTTCTAAATCGATACTCTTACGTATGTATCTAAAATTCTCTCTACAGTGTTACAAAATATAACACAAAAAAGACACGCGAATTATATGAAAATAACAATTACACAAATAATATAAACACATTTTTTTAAAAGGTTTATTTTTTTTAATTTGTAGTAGTATTATTTGTACTAACATTATTTTTAATTTCACAAATATAAACAACTTTTCAGAAATAAAAAAATGTCCAGTTACACAAAATTTCGAATTTTATTGAAGTGACTGATGTGTAATGATTTGTTGTGATGTGATGACTGATGTAATGTGTTCTTAAAGAGGACACACATTTTTAGTTTACAACATATTGGATGTTGGGTAGTTCATATCAGAAAATCAGCAATTATGAACTTAGGTAATATCTTTTTTGCTATCAATTTATATGTGTATGTGTGTATGTAGTATGGATGGATTATTATGTACGTATATATTCAATCTTATACCGATAGTCGCAGGTGCATGTTCAGTTGTCGACCACCAAATCGACCCTTTGAGAGCCTTAAAAATTTAAATCGCCTTAAAATAATCTTTGATCCCATTACAAATTATATCTATATATTATTTTCAACCCCTCAAAACAAATGACGTTTTTGTTGAGATAACCATTTCAATATCTGAATATTATATTTGTTAAAATGTCAATAAACTTTTGCACATGAAAGCTCCTGGAGACACCACCTTCTGCCAGGTCTACTAACGTTTCGAATTAACTCTGCAGAAGGTGGTATTTTTTTTATTTGTTTTAGGACTCTAGCTATTTTGAGAAATTATTTCTTACAGATGATTGAGCAGTGTGGAGCCAAGGACATTCTACCATGAAACCCCTTTACTCTCACATTTCGGTGAGTAATGTTTTATCTTCATTTTTTCTTTGAATACAGAATTAATATTCTGCTTTTAATTCTGCATTTCATGGAAGGTAACATTCGTAATATTGACATTTCTGTCGTCAACACCTTATTTTTCTAGATTTAAAAATATTTATATTAATTCTGTTAATTTTTAATATTGAAGTATATTCAACTGCATTACTTTAGTAATTGTTCGTAGTGTATTTTATTTCTTGTTTAATTGATAACTGAACCTCCTCCACGACCTATTTATAGGTGGTCAGGACTTGAATAATCTCCAAATATCTATATTGTGAGCATACGTTGCATGACTTTGCTTGCGAGGATAATTCATGTAGAAACTTTCAAGTTTCAGATGAAGCTCTTTTTGTCGTCTTTTCAAAGATGTGCCGGTGGCAATGATGAATTGGTATTTTGTGCTTACTTGGAGTTGATGTGTCATAATGTACACTACCTATTACACGAACCTTGCAGTGGCTTAATAGCGCCTCATGTAGCAAAGGAGCCGAGGGGAAACCTGAGTCAAACTGCGTCATGCCCCGTTTGTGTAACAAGGAAGCAACGGCGAGTAATGTATCAACTTGCGGAGGAACGTGAAACTAACAGAAACTAAAGCGCTAAACAAAAGAAGGCAAAATACGACTCCCGAGAGTCCAGGAAAACAAGTTAAATTTCACTCGGAAGTGAGTAATTTTCGAGAGCTGATGAAGTATGTTTCGTGAATGTGTAGATTGGATATAAAATTGAAAATATCTCTGAGATGACAAAGGTGATAGATTCATGTGATAGTATAGAATGTTAGTAAGGAACATATAATAATTTTTAAGGTAAAACGTTTCGTTTTATGATGTATCAAACGAGTTCAACATTTTATTTTTTACAATTACAATAGGTATTTTTATGTGAAGTGCGTGACAATTGTTTTTTGCACGATCGAGATGGAGAATTTTT